GACGAAAACTTTAAAGCAGCACTATGTAAATTTTGGCTACTTCTCTAAGTTTATGTCTATGGCGATTCACGCAGTTATGTGTTACTCCGCAGCGGTGACGACCCGACCAGGCTACAATAGTCCAAATATAAGTACTTATTATAAGTGTACCGTAGTGATTCGGAATAAGACAAAAACGCGGTTTGGAAGATGAATTCATGATGTACTCACTCATTATATACATTTTGCAAATTTTGAACACAGAAAAAGTTACATAGTGCTGCTTTAAAGCCAAACTATTCTTGAAAGTGTTGAAGTTTTCATATGGCCACACTGATTTACTAGATCTGCTCTATTATGCATTAGCATGACTCGAGGTTTATTTTTTATCATACTGTTTTTCATTTCAGTCAAACGTCACAAAAAAAACAAAAAAAAAAGTCTTGGAAATCTGAGAAATCAAAATCTTCTCATTGTCTAAAATCGTATAAAGTTAGTGTTAAATGAATGTGTTTTTAAGAAACCAATCTATCATCATTTTGTTCCCTGCTGAGAGCCCCTTTGGTTTAACTTTGAAAAATTCAGGTTTGTTGTCCATCACACAGAACATTCTTAATTGCACAAAACTGCATTTTAAGTTTAAAAAAAAAAAACAATAACAACAACTAATATTTAGAATGTTAATCCAAGATAAAGAGAAGAAATTTGCTGCAAATGGCATACCATTTTTGTTACTATTCTTTTTGTCATAGAAATGTGGCTTCAGATATCACATTTTGAAATATATCTTTCCCCCAGAAAAGTATTTTTAATATTACTTTTTTAAGGAAAAATTATAAAACATATATTAAATTCTTTGGCCAAATTGCAAAGAAATCTGTGTAAGTTATTAAAGTTTGTTTTTTAACTGCCTCGTGAAACCATTCCAGCACTTTCTATACTTTATGTAATGCTCTAACAGTTTTTGGGTTTGCTCTAAATGGTTAAAAACACCGAAAATTAATGCGTTTTTCTGCTATTTTTCATTGTTTGGGAAAAAAATCTCATCACTCTTTTGTTAAAGTGATAATGTATAACTGTTATGTCACACTGTTTTGTAAAATGTGTACAGTGGTCAGTATACAGTGTTTGTATACAGTAATCAAGATATGAAAACAATAAAACTGAATGTGAATTTTCGCATCTCAAATATTTAAGATGAAATCATTGCATTTGTGGTACAGTACTTTAGTGCTCATGAAATAATGTTCATACAAAGCCACTTCTGTTCGGAAATGTTTTATTGGCAAAGACTTTCTTTGGAAAAAGGGTCTTAAAAGTGCCTATTTTTGACACAACATATTCTAAAATGTTCTCTAGCTGTTCTTGGAAACAGATGAATTAAATCTCAGAATCTCAGAAAAGCCTAAATAGTTACAGAGAAACAGTTTCCTGAAGCAAAGCAAGAAAGATTCACAGTAAGGTATGTTTGAACTAGAGGGTAAACGACCACAAGACTATTGTTTTTTTTTACAGGCTGGTCACTTCTTCACCTTCTGTTTCTTGTGACGCATTCGAAGAGTCCCTGAGGTTTGAGCTTTGGTAGACTCTGACTTGTTGGAGATGATGGTTACCTCAGGTTGGTATGTTTGTAGGAAGTCAAGGAGGTCTACTTCCTGTTCCTCAGATTCACATTCCACTTCATCATTAAATCCCAGGCTCTCAGCCTCCATCAGCGGATCCTCCTCCTCCTTCTCAGTCTCACTCTGCCCGTCTTCATTATGTTGATCTTCCTCTTCTTCTTCACAGTCTTCATCATCACCATTTTCTTCCTCTTCATTCCCTTCACCATCATCATCATCCTCCTCCTCTTCTTCTTCTCCATCATGTTCTTCTTCCTCCTCTTTCTCATACTTGCAGCCAACAGCTTCACCCTTTGGATAATGGAAGACGTGTCTGTGATCGCTAAAGGTGATTTGTCGTCTTCTGCTTGGTTTCTGTTCCTCTTCGTTTTCACCTGGGTACTCGAGTTTCTCATCATCCTCATCAATACTTTTAGGAAGACAGGGCTGGTCTTCTCTAATCTCGTCTTCATCTTCCTCCTCCTCCTCCTCCTCCTCCTCTTCATATTCCTCTTCTTCTTTGTCGTCCTCTTCATTTTCTCCTTCATTATTCTCCACTTTCACCTCCTCATTAGTACACGCATCATCAGGCTCATCCTCTTCCTCCTCTTCTTCCTTCTCCATTCTCTCAGCAAGCTCCTCTGCTGTGAGTATGACTTGGTCTGGTTCTTCAAGTATAACACTAGGAAATCTGCGTCTGCGGGAGGTCATGTCATACTCTGGGTAGGTCTCCTCTGGATAGCCTTGAGAAGCAGTGAATAAAATTAAATTCAAGAACCAAGAAACAACAGCGGACCCAACACAAAGCCTTGAAGCATACCTTCCCAGTCTGCAGTGTAGGGGGCCTCCTCGGCCTCCTCCTCTGGTGAAGCTTCCTCTCGCAACTGTCTCTCCCGCATCATTTGGGTGATCTCCTTCAACTGTTTGAGCTTTCTCTCCTCACGCCTCCGTGTGCCCCTGCGTGACCTGAAGTCAGACCAAGTGGTGAGTCAGAAACTACATTAATACAAGTAACATATCACAATCACTGCAAAAACCACATACACATTTCTTGCTAATTATGAAGCTGCAAAACAAATATACCACTGTTGCTCATTATTTTAAAAAGTAATTCAAACTGGTCAACTAATTACATACTAAAAATAGAAAAGGAAACAAATACGTTTCCTCAGAAGAATATGTATCTATGTTTTGTGAATGTAAAAAAATATATATATACATTGTATTTGGCAGATCCTTTTATCCAAAGCGACTTACACTGCACTCTAGGTATGCATTTTAGCAGTTAATGCATTTCCTGGAAATCATAATGCTGTGAACTAGCACTTTTCCTTTTTAAAATGGATTCCATTCGAAGTTGCATGCAGATCATGTCAGTGCTCTGTCAGCTCTTTGATCAGTAAGATACTGGATGGTGCAAGGAGAGAAATATGATCTGATTACCTGGCAGATGGGTGGACAACTTTAGATATTCTCTTTTCTCTGCCTTTTTCACTCATTCTGGCCTGCATCTGCACCAGCTGACAAGTAGCTGCCAGGGAGACAATTGAATGAGGTTTAGAATCACATAAGATACAGAGATTCACTCAAACATGTGGCCGCCACACTTTGTAGTTTCATTTAAATCATAAATTCATTTAAATAGCAAAATTGTAAGAATAGTTTGAGCTTTTCATACACATGCTGTACATGGAGTAAGTGCGGTACTGATGCTCTGTCAGTTGCCTCCTCCACCCTTTGGCATCCATTTGTTGAATAGAGCTAAACCTCTTACTACTGATCCAAAAGACATGCAGTTAATTGGTATTAGGAGTGGCTAGGCTTATAAAACATTACTTCTGATTGTTAATCCGGGTTGAACAAAAGGGAGAGAACAAAGCTTGCCAGGTCTTGGACAGGATCGTAATCTACCTTATCTGGAGTTGCATGTGTAGTTGTCCAACTAAGGTTGATGTATATGCAAACTCACGCATCTCCTCAAATGTGTATTCTGACTGCAGCATAGGGAATCTGCACCCTTGTCGATGAGGTTTGTCCTTAGAGGTCAGCTGTTGAAAGATCAAAGTAAGCATAACTGATTCAGCTACTGCGAGCATATATATATATATATATATATATATGTGTGTGTGTGTGTGTGTGTGTGTGTGTGTATACATATACACACAACCACATTAAAAACCAATGGCAATAAAATACTTTTTTTTTATTACAGCAGATGTACCCCACCATTAAAAAGTTTGGGGTCCGAATTTGTTTTTAAGAAATTAATAATTTTCTTCAGCTAGGATATTTTAAATTGATCAGAAGTGACAGTAAAGACATTTCTGGACTGATTTCTGAAAGATCATGTGACCCTGAAGGTTGTAACAATTGCTGCTGAAAATTCAGCTTTGCCATCACAGGAATTAATTACATTTTAAAATATATTAAAATACAAAACAGTTATTTTAAACATTTCACAATATTACTGTTTTTTGTATTTTTGATCAAATAAATGCAACCTTGTAAGAATAAGAGACTTCTTTCAAAAACATAAAAAATCTCACTGACCCCAAACTTTTGAGCATTTCTGTATATATTAAAGGGGTCATATGATGCTTTTTTAAAGATCATTATTTTGTGTATTTGGTGTAACAGAATATGTTGACATGCTTTAATGTTCAAAAAACACATTATTTTTCAAATACTGTACATTATCGTAGGTCCTCTATGCCCCGCCTCTCTCAAACGCTTCGTTTTCTACAAAGTCCCTCCTTCCGACAAGCGCAGACTGCTCTGATTGGCCAGCTGACCCAGTGCACTTGGGGGCGTGTTAGGACGAGCCGTTTTAGGGGGGCGTGGCAGAGTCTTAACTTTGATAAAGAATATCTCTTTGGTTTTGAGACTTTAGTCTTTGCAACTTCAGGGATCTTATCTATGCACAATCAGCTTGTAACACTCCAAAGACAAAGGAAAACTTGAAATCGCATCATATGACCCCTTTAAAGCACCTGTTAGATCTTTTCTCTATGAGAATAATTCTTACAGGAGAGCTGCTGAACGGAGCCGTTTTCCAAATAGCTTCTGATAAGACTCACTTTAAAGAACAAGTAGATGATATAAAGGAAAATCCCAAAGCCATAGACGGGGATGACTTGGCCCAGGAGATTCGGCTTGCCAACACCTTTGGCTCTGGCAATGGCCTCTGGGCTGTAATGCTTGATGTAATGAGATTCTGTATCCCAGTGATCATGATCTTCAGAGAATGAATGTCTGTGTCGTGGGGGAGGAAAATGTCCTGGTCCAACTTCAAAAATAAATAAATAAATACAATTATTTTATAGAGACTGCACTAAAAAGAGCAATTTTTCTGTATAAAACCAGTGGTTATCAAAAATATTAATTACAAAAATAAACTAAATTAAACTAAACTAAATGACAATGAAAGCTCCTTATAATGTTTTAATGATCCAATGTTATTATTATTTTTTTTTCTATGTTACTGTGTTTTTTTTTTTTTTTTTTTAAGATGTAGGAATAAATAAGGATAGATTTGTTTTGGAAATGAATGTGATCCTCACATTATGAATCCACACACGGGGAGCTGGTAGAGGTTAACAGGGGACCTGAGCACAGAGATCACAGGGATGGTCAAATCAGCACTGACATTACTGAAACACTAAATGAGGGATGATGAAGGATTACATTTTTGTCTCATCTTACCCTCCGACTGCGCTGTTTCTTTCTTCACTCTGGGTAAAAATAATTTGGGTAGAAATAAAGACATACAGAGGACGATGCAAGAAATCAAGGTGATCTTCTGACTTGTTGAAACCGCCATATCGATACGACAGAGAAAATCGATGCTGTAGAACAAACGGTGACAAGCGTCAACAACACGACATCACTTTTACGAAATTTCCTGTTGATTCGCTGAAGCGGAAATGACTGGAAACATTAATCCTCCTTCTGGTTCTGGGTGAGATTAGATTGACGACACATTAAATCAACTCACTCAAAATCATCAATCATATTTGTGACCTGTTATTAACCTGTTTTAGGAGATCATTGAGTCTTTTACTCTTTATTGTAATTTTATCGCTGCCCTTTCATGAATTTATTTTCATTTATTTTATCATGAATCCGTAAAATATATTCCAAATTTACATTCCACATTTTCTTCCACTTTTGTGTAACCCAACCGCATTTTTAATGATAGGCTATTATTATTATTATTATTGTTGTTGTTGTTGTTATTACTGTTGTTGTTGTTTATGATGACAGCGATTATGATGATGATGATGTCGTGTTCGTGTTCTTGTTGTTGTTGTTATTCACCTATTAGTCCAGTAGATGGCAGCGCTGTCGTGATTATAAGCGCTCATGAGGCCTCATTAAAAGCCTTTTATTGAGATCTCAAGTACACTACAGATGAATCCATTGTATAGGTTGTGGACAATTTGTCTCAATATGATTTAAATTATAAAACAAAATTTAATAACATTTAAATTATTGAAAACTATTTTTTTGATTCCATATAAAATATATGTCCCAAAGTATAACATACATAAGTTAATGTCATTAAATAATGCATTAAATTCATTAAATATCACCACATGGCATCTATGTGAATATTTTGTGCTAACAATGATCTACTTAACTATTATATTATTATTCATTTTATTATATTATATTATATTATTTTTTACATTTTAATGTAATGTACAGTATATCAACAATTTTACTGACTTACCCATGTTCTATATATTTAATGAAATGTTTTTAAGATATTATATGTATTTTTCTACTATTTATGCTGAACCAGCCATGAAAAGTCTACATAGTCATTTCCATTTTTATGTTAATTTCTGTGTTTTTTCAATAATCCATTCATGGCACTCTCTAAGACCTTTGAGAGCATATCATGGTCTACCTTAGTGCGAAAATGCCTTGTTGCTAAGCTAAATAAATATTCATATTCATTTAAATTTCCAATAATTCCTAATTAAAGTTTTGAGTTTTACCACATGCAGATTTAATGAGCATGTGGGGAAAAAAACATTTCCAGTTTTCAAAGAAATGGAGGCAATTGGAAAAGTGAATTGGTCCTTAAGTTCGGCATGGTGATATAACGTGAATGTACATGAGTGCTGATATTTCCTGCAGAGCTCAAACTCTTTCTCCAGGCCAGCTCATCTTTTATCTGTCTACTGAGCTGCTCTGTTATCAACGTTTTAACTGCCTAATTATTCTTCATTAGGCTCAATTTAAGCACAATGGATGTACTGCCACAAAAGTCACCTCATAGAAACCCACAAGGCCTGTGCAGAAAGCTGTTTTTATGTTTTCCAAAAAAAAAACAGTTTTGTCTGCTTTTCTATGAAACTCTTAGTGCTTATATTGTTTCTGCTAAAAGCAAAATATGCCATTGACTCTTATGAAACGCTTGTGTCCCTTCCTGTCGTGTGAGCGATAAATTCACATACATGGCAATCTACACACTTTCACCAAACAAAATTGCTTTCAGAAATAGCAATCGTTTTCTTTCTCTATATTCATACAAATGATTTGTTGTGCAATGTCACCTTTCTCAGTACTGGCAGACCAGGTTCGCATCTGACCCCTTTTCGCTCTCTCTCTCTTTCTGGCTGTCTAAATCAGTCAATTTATTTCCAAATTGTAAGTTGAGTGTGGGAGCAAGGGCTTCTTTCACTGCTGGGATGAAATATTAAATCAATGCACACTCCCATATATCGAGTGGGCTTTAATTTTTATTTAATATTGATGGGAATGAAGCTGACTTTGAGTGTCGTGAAGGACATACTGTTACAAATCCTGGGGCCTTTATATTCATGGAGGAGAGACAGAGATGGTGAGTGAATGTGCTGGAATAATGCAACCTAAGGAAGCTTGGCTGTGTGAGCCAGGCCTCGAGACACCAGCCAGTTGTCATCCTCCATTTGTTAACATGAGGAGAGCAGGACGGCACATATGAGACTTTGAATAATCTTGAACTGAGATATTATCAGGCAGATGCTCAAAAGTAGATTAATAATCTGAGTTCAAATGCTTGCCAGACCTTCAACCTGTCTTCATACTGTGGAATGGGGAAGTGATGTCGGACATGTGTGTGAGCGTGTAAGAATAAAGCATAACTGGACAGTATTGTGAATGTGTTGATGATGTATTATGCGGTGAAGAGAGGCAGCAGATGGGCATCCTGATTAAGGCTGAAAAGCAGTGTAAATAGTAATCTGATCTGTAGCTGCGCTGTGCGTGTGGGAAAGCAGCTTGGGCCTCGGCCAGAGAGCACTGATGTCCAGCACAAGACGTCACATTACTCGCTGCTGCGCCCCTGACTCAGCCAGAGTTTAAGGGGTCAAAGGTCAAAATGCATGAATGATTTTTGGTAAATGTTTTGAACAGTATGTAAACTGTATTAGAATATTGTTTTGTGAATTTTATCCTCCAAACATCACATTTTTGCAAAGTTCTCAGATAAACAAGTCAACACAATAAAACCAATCTGGCATACAGATAAAGCCAGCTTCATCTATATTATTAAATTACTGGAAGGTTGAAATAGATAGATAGACAGACAGACAGACAGACAGACAGACAGACAGATAGATAGATAGATAGATAGATAGATAGATAGATAGACAGACAGACAGACAGACAGACAGACAGATAGACAGATAGATAGATAGATATGTGAATTGAACTTCAACATCACAGGAAAAAAAATATATATGAAATGCTGAAACCTTTATAAATATTATAAATGATAAATATTAATACATTATAAATATATTTACTGTCATTTTTGGTTAATTTAATGTGTCCTTGCTAAATAAAATTAGTAATTTCTTAAAAAAAAAAAACCTCACCCCAAACTTTTGAACTGTAGTGTATATATGACATTAGAATACACGCCTATACAGTAATTAATTTTCAAAACCTAACCTGAGTAACATTCACTGGAGTAAAAATTATGACGTCTAGTCCCTGTCTCCACTATATTGCCCCTGTGGATTTCAGATAATTGCAAGTGCATGCATACACTATAAAAATACTATAAACAAATAATTACCACAGCTAGTGTTGCATTTGCATTGAAATTGTTGTTTATTAAGCCCATGCCAGTTTTCATTAAACTGCTTAGTGACAAACTATATGGCACAAATGTCAGCGTATTAAAACAGTGGTGCAAATTCCTTCCAGCAAGGTAATTACATGTGCCCGACCTATCGTTTTAAAGGTAAGCCATAACCGATTGTGTTTTCACACAGGAAACAAGCAATTGATTGGCTTTGTTTGACATCTAGAGTTGTTTACCAGTGCATTGCATCTTTGTTGTGGACGCTGTATGTGGTGGAGAGAGTGTGGGCAGACGGAGAGGGCCGCTGTGAGGGGGAGAAGGTGCAGAGGTTCAGCTGATAGAAGCTTTGATCTCAAACAGCAGGGGGGAAATTACATTATTTAAGGTGCCTCACCAGCACGACACTGCTGTGCTGTGAAATTGCAGGTTCAGTTGCACATGGCTGAAATGCCAGACACACACACACTTGTGCATAAACACACAGACAAGCATATTAGCAGAAACCTTCCCACAAGCGAGTCGGCATCACAAGCACACACATGCCTCAGTAATGTAAATGCTTCAAATACATGTGGACTCTTCAAGTGTGACAGAAAGCTGTTTGTTTTTACATGGGTTGACTCAGAGTGGATGCCTGGCCATGAATTTAGTTTGGGATAGACAAAACAGAATTCAGACTTGAGATAAACTTTAGATTCGATATTTACGTTTTTTTACACTGTATAATAATGACAAGCATAACATCAGTATACAGTACCTATATACATAACAATAATCAACCCCATTATTTCAGAGGTGCATGAACTAAAATTTTCTTGAAAGACTCCATGAACTTGAAACAAACCAAATGATCATGGAATGGTATTTTCATATCCCATAATAAATATTTCTTAATATAATGCATACAATGTTAAACTCTTTCAAACTCTTTCTAAAACTTTCACAGTTTTAATTGATTTTTGTTTCATAGAAAATCATATCGTGTCAATATAACGCTCCATTTCCTTCCTAAAAGAAAAAAGCATTTTAGGAATAGCCTTTTTTTTATTGCATAACAAGAACATAACATACATATACAGAGGATCACAATATTTTCTTTTAGGAATAGCCTTTTTTTTTATTATTGCAGAGAATGGGAACATACAGAAGAATAAGCATACATCACATAATATCAACCACAAAATTAAAATGGAAACAAAGCACACAAAAAAATAAAAATAAAGATAAGAGGGCCATCATCTAAACATGATCACATGAAGAGATCAAAGGCAGGGCAAATCCTAACAGTACTTATAGCTTTCTTATTAGTAGATACTGAAATTACATTCAAATAATTTTCCATTTCTTTTAGGAAAACAGGTTTACAGTTGGAAAATTTTCATTTGTGGATGTGAAATTTGCTTAGGAAAAAAATTAAATTAATAACAAAACAGATATTTTCGTTTGTGGGGTCTGAGTCATAATACCCAAATATAATGTTTCTCATATGTACTGAGAAGCCTGGCAAAATCTTACACTTGACAAACACACCAATATCATCCCAAAGCTTCTGAGTGTAGTGACATGACCAAAATAAGTGTACCACAGTTTCTTCAGAATTCGAACAAAAAGAGCATGTTAGCTCAATGTCAGATTTAAATCTTTGTATCTTTAAATCTTTAAAGCCATAGTTTTTAACATTTAAGAGATTTAAAAAAAAAAATCATATCGTTTTTTTAAACTAGCCTATAAAAATGGAAATACTGAAGTTTCAGTTTGGTCTTCTGATAAAGCTGCCGTATAGCTTCAGTCTTGGAGTAAAATGCACTAGTCATGAAATGTGCTAT